CATTAAGCTGATATTTTAGGCTGGCAACCTGCGAGCCCCTTCCACTGTCGCGCCGACCGATTCGTGCTTCAACTATACAATTACTGTAGCTGTGCATGGCTCCACCACATTTAGATCATATTGTTTTAGTGTAACAAAAGCCCATTCACTAAACCACGCTTACAAGGCATACTTCAACAAGGCAGGCCTTGGAGATGCTCAGATTGTAATCGGACGGAAAGATAGACACTGGCCGATTATTTCAGTCCTTTGCTGTACGCATTCGAAACACGAAGTAAACCGTTTAGTTCGAATGAGTGGAATAGCGGGGTAAAGACCCATCGACCTCCTTGTTGTTCAATAGTAGAAAGGCAAGGGAGAAATTAAAGCATGTAATTCTTAAGAAGGTATTCCTTGTTAGTTAGTGGAGCCACAACATGCACTTACAATTAGGTGGATTGTATATTCGTTTGTGTCGTGTATTCGCGGTGTAAGAATATCCACAATCCCACATAATTCCGTGGGTATCGTAAGAGGCGACAAGTGGAAACAAATCAGGAGATGGGCGGCAGCGTCTTCCTAATAACTACCAAAAATTAAAGACTGCAGTTGCTAACCGCTCGATAATCGTGTCAACGATGGTAAATATCCCTCCTGCAATCTATGGAGGAGGCCTATGTACAGCAGTGGCCTTTAGCGTAAAAGTGAACGACCCAGCACACGACGCCCACACAGATCAACTATCGTGAAATCTAAAACGAACCCCACATTTCACTTCTCAAAGGGGACTGTACAGTATATAATTAACTTTACACTACAATCCATACAAGGTTGAGATCAAATCGCACCTATCATTAAGTAAGCGTTGAACTGTGATTTAGCCATTCACTCACCTTCGTTTGACCAGATTACACACGTGACCTGTTCACACCAGTTAACAATATAAATTATGACACTGAATTACAGACACAGTCGACTCCATGGTGAAATGAAACATTATGTACAACCGACTTCAATATAAATATAATTTATTGTTGATTTTTTTTTAAAACCGCTCGACCGATTTCGATAGTTTAATTGAGACCACCGGGGAAGTATACCCTTTGAAAAAAAAAAACCGGCCAAGTGCGAGTCGGACTCGCGCACCGAGGGTTCCGAACAAATCCGTAGGTATATAAGTTTAAAATGATTAAAAATATTTTTATTATATGATGTAATTAAAAATTTATGCTTTTCGCAATTTCTCCTTTATCTGTGCTATAATACGTTGCTTCGTACCAAATTTTGAGATTCTCAGTTCACGGAAAGTACCCTGTAGGATTTGATTCCCTTGCGAGGGTCGAAGATTTGCGGCATAAACGGCTGTACCTTTTGATTGCGTTGGCTTAGAAGTTTGATTTTTTCATAAATTCTTGATACCTAAAAGTTTGATACCTCAATGCGTTCCTGAGAAAAAGGGTCTTGACAGACAGACAGACGGACAACAAAGTGATCCTATAAGGTTCCGTTTTTTCCTTTTGAGGTACGGAACCCTGAAAAAGAATTTTCCAAATCGGTTCAGGCGTCTTCGAGTAATCGGTGTACATACATAAAAAAAATGTTCCGATGAATTGTAAACCTTTTTGAAGTTGGTTGATAATTTGAAATACAAAACCAGAAGAAATTTTGCTTCTTTAGATGTTAAAGTGGCAAATCAACACTCAGTCTATATCATAGCAGTAAGTAAAAAAAATATTATTTAATATTTCTTTTTAGAATAAGAGTAACAAAGAGCACACAGTGCACCTGATGGTAAATGGTTGCTGTGGCCCATAGACATCTACACCTATCCTCAATAAAGAATCAAACTGCGGATACGTTGTTACTCTTTAGGAGAAAGATGAACTGAATGCCCTGTGTCCAGTAAAAGGGTCTCTAGGTCTCTATACTCAGCATACGAAACACAGCAGCATTTAGCTGCTATTTTACGCTGGTATTCAGTGAGAGCGTGGTCTTACCCCGGTCTATCACAAATGGGTTGGCCATTTGTTCTAAAACTATAATAGATTTGCAGCATGGCTCTACCACGTAAAAATATAAATGTATAATGATCATTTCAAAAAAAAATACTGACAACAATTTCAGTAATGTTAATTTAAATAGAAATTGATAAGACTCCTCCATAAAAATAAAGCAAAATTGACTTACTGGGAACATAATTTGACTTTGATTGGACTGTGAAAATTGTGACAACAAATAACGTATAAAGGTTTGATTTTTCTATATGTCTGCTTATTTCTTTCCAAGCCACTGCTTGACTACTATCCCACGCGATGGTGAGTGACGTAACCGAAGACAGCAAGCGCAGTGACCTAAAGTTATAACGAATGTAAAAGTATTCATCTTTGAGGTAAACATTAAAACCTATTTAATGTTCACTCAACTTTAACCGTCATGTTTTTAACTTTCTACATGTGGAGCCATTAAAAGAGCGATTTTAAATTTAACTAAGTACAACTTAATTGCACATTAAATAAATAAACGAACAATTACTGTCGAAAAATCTTTCCATGGGAGGCCCTAGATCTTTGAAGGGCTGTGAACTGTGATTATAATGATGATACTCTTGAAGTTTTGAGTGCAACGCGTATGTAGTACCCACAATGAACAGGTAAAAACGCCTACCAAGCTCACGCTTAATTCACGATTAAGAAAAATCCTCTCGCAACGGGAGAGGCCTATATCCGGTTGTGAATTCTTACGGCCATCATCATCTGCATCATCATCATTGCAGCCTACTAATAGTTCACTGCTGAACATAGACTTCCTCTATATATATTACCTCATAGGTGTGATGTTTGTCACAATTGACGCGCTTGACAGGCGCATGAGTAACCCCAGTCTTTTTTTTTTATTTTGAGTTATTATAAATAAAATCTGCTGCCCATTTTCTGTTTCAGTTTCCTTCTGTTGCGTCTTACGACAATCGCTTGATGATATGGGGTAGTGGATTCACTTACGCGCTGTATATAAACCGCTATTATAATGGCCACACTAACTGTCTTTGGACAGTACACACAGGTGCATTCAATGCTTGTCCTTGATATTTGCACGGAGGGTTGCACCCCCACTCAAGGCAGGTGCTGCGGCAGATGTATCGTAACCTTAATATGATTTTTTACCAGTTTTGCTTTACCTACGCTATAATATGTCAATATATCTGCATTTGATTGCTTGAAGTCTGGAATTACAAAGAAATGGTTGTCTATGCCGTGAGGAAGATAGGTATATTGTAACTACGTCATTATGCCGCGAGGGAGTTGTTCAGGTATTTAATAGGATAGGGTGACAAACGAGCACACAGTCCACCTGATGGTAAGTGAGTGCTGTGACCCATAGACATCTACATTTATCCTCGATTAAGAATCAAAATTTAGATGCGTTGTCAGCCCTGAGGGCTAAGATAGAATGCCTCATTACCAGTAAAAAGGGTCTCCGGTTCTCTATACTCACCATACGAAACACAGCAGCGTTAAGCTGGTATTATGTGAGAGCGTGGTCCTACCCCGGTTGAGCCGACCCATTCTTGCTACAACCATATATGTAGTTGCAGCGTGGCTCTACCACGTATATTATAATACCAGATATATTGTACCAGGTATATTGGAACCACGTCATTATGTCATGAGGAAGTTGTTCAGGTAGGGTCATGATAACTACGTCAAAAGTTCGGTTCGCAGCAAACAACCCGAGTTTCATGTCGTGAATTCATCGCGTGAATGTGTTTGATTTAAGAATAATAATAATAATAATAAATTTACAATTATATATTTATACAGCCCAACCAGATGAGTAAACTATATAGATGCCCCAAATAATAATAATAAATCCAATGTAATGACCTCAATTATACACCACTAAACTTACATCAAACTACTTTACAAAGACCCCATAATTTAGTTACAAACCCAGAGCAAATTTTAAAAGAAGCATGGAAACAAAAAATACTGCACGGCCGACACTATCATGACCTGGAACAACCCTTGATTGATAAAGCTGCATCAAATCAATGGTTAAAAATAGGTTCTTTATTCCCCGAAACTGAAGGTTTTATTATCGCAATTCAAGACCAAGTTATAAATACTCGAAATTACAGGAAATATATCATTAAAGACCCCACTGTATTAGATGATAAGTGTCGAAAGTGCCACATACATTCTGAAACCATTCAGCATATAACTGGAGCATGCCCCCATCTCGCCCAAACCGATTACACTCATAGACATAACCAAGTAGCTAATATCATACATCAAACTCTTGCTATTCAACATAACCTCATACAAGACACTATTACACCTTATTATAAATACATCCCAAGCACCGTTCTAGAAAATACAACACATAAGTTATACTACGGTACCGCGCCATTCTAACTGACAAAACAATACATTATAATAGACCAGACATTACACTACAAGATAAACTTAATAAAATCACATACCTCATTGATATAGCTATACCTAACACACATAATATTACAAAGACAATTACAGAAAAAATCCACAAATATACAGATCTCCAAGACGAAATTAGCAGAATTTGGAAACAAGAAAAAGCATACATAGTACCGATTGTGTTATCAACCACAGGAGTTATCCCAAAACATCTTCACCGCAGCCTGAAACTATTAAATATAAAAGAGAATAAATACATACAATTTCAGAAAGCCGCCATATTAAATACGTGCCGCATTGTGAGAAAATTTTTACAAATAGATGAAAACGAAATTACGCCCAATATCCCAGAACACACTACTTAATAAAACGCCCATATGCTTTTTACTTGGTGAAGACCCGTAATTAGCATTAATAACGGCCGCAAGGCTAGAAAAAATAAAGATATAAAAATAATAATAATAATAATGAGCCCCCTAAAATCCTACCTTACGTCCAAGCTGAACACCTAGCTACGTGGGGGGCGGACACGCGTACTGTACAACAGTACAAAAAACTTACGCGGCTAACAAGGAAAGGTAACCCTTTATGGAGATGAGTAATAAGAGAGTATATAATTTACGGTCGCTGCCCGGGGAGCGCCGGGGCGCATCTGGAGCCGATGCTAGGTGCCACAGCATGCGAACCATCGGCGGTGAGGAGTTGAGCAAGCGGGCTCCCACCGAAAAAACTGCTACAGCTGGTCGTAGTGAGTTGAATAGGCGGGCTCACTACGTAGAAGCTACAGCCGATTCCACGGGCGATGATACTATTTCATTATTTTCATCCATCCCTTCGACTCGACCCTCTTACGTGACAAGAAAATCAGTTAGCTTGTCCACCACCAGCACGCTTGATAGTGTTGTGCAGGAAGTCAACCTTGACTCTAAGCCTGCACCCACTACAAGCGCCTCAAGTACGCGCAGACGATGGACACCTGAAATGAATAAGTTCATACTGCGCACTTACCTTCAATTGACTGCACTAGATACAGACAGAAAAACTTATCTTGAACCACTCCACATAAAATTTATAGAAAAATACCCGAACATGCAGGTTAGTCGACAGAGAATAGGAGACCAACGTACAGCCATAATAAACAATAAACTACTTCCACAGAAAACTATAGAAGAGATACGAAACGATGTAAAAGAAGAGTTAGATCGTCTACAGTTGAATCATTCGACCCAACAATCACATAACTCTAACGACCATGTACAACAAATACTTACACTCACACAATCTATCCAAATGCAACCTAGAACCCCAGAAACACATAGTACTAAAAATAGAACCCAGACCCGAATGAGATGGACTAGTGAACTAAATGAAGCTATAATGCGTTCTTATTATCGAGTTACAGATTTAGGCAGAAACGAAACAGCATATAGAAGACGCATGTATGAAGATTTTATCAACAGATTTCCTGCACTTGCTCATCTTAACGAACAACGAATAGCTGATCAAAGGAGAGCAATTGTGAACAATAATTACGTCACTAGTGACAGATTAAATTCCTTAAAACTAGAAGTATCTGAAGAATTACGACTACATAATTTTAACTATACCAACTTTACAAGCGAAACGACGCTAGTAAACCCAAACCGCAACAGTAATTATGAAACTCAATTTATAAACAGCATTGACATCAGCTCAACACAAGAACCTTCACTTACTTTAAATCATACTGAAATCAACATTGCAGAAGAAATACAACCTAACCCACAAGCAAACCTAGATAGGGATCCACTAATAGATGAGACGTTCCAACAAGCATTCCAATATTTTAAAGAAACTAGCCCTACAAAAAGATTGTTTATTCCTAAACAAAAACCTTCTAAAAAACTAGCGCGTATAGTTACCTACCTAAACAAAATAATATTACCAGAAAACGTTAACAAAGAAACTGACTTCTATACCTTACAAACTACTATATATTGTGCGGCATGGACTGCGGCAAAAGTTAACGGAGCAAAGATAACCCTTCAACCAAGAGAAGTCACCCAAAGGGCAAAAAAAGAATATAAACCTAACTGGGAGACGCGATTAGAACGAAAATTAAATGATTTACGTTCAAAGATAGCACAAATGACACAATTCATCAATGGCAATAGAAGTAGGAAAATAATTAAACACGTTAACAAGATACTAGAACAATATAGAATCCATACTGCTCATGAAGAACCAAATAAACAAGCAGCTCACACATTAGACACTCTTAAACAAAAACTGTCAGTCGTAGCAGGCCGACTACAACGATACAAAGCTTGTGCCCAAAGAAAACTACAAAACATTCAATTCACCCACAATGAAAAACTCTTCTACCGCAATATTAGACAGGCGACATCTAACGTTCAGGATAACAACCCTGATCATAACTACCCTGACTCAGAGACGTTACAAAACTTCTGGGCAGGAATTTGGGAACAACCAATCGAACATAACGCCCAAGCAGAGTGGATACAAACAGAACTGACAAACAGCAACACAAATATTCAAGCAATGACATTTGATCACATATCCCCAGTAATTTTCCATAAAGTACTTTCTCGTTTACATAATTGGAAAGCACCCGGTTCAGACAACATTCATAGTTATTGGTACAAAAAATTTACATCTTCCCATAGTTTTCTCTATAATTACATAAATATTTTCATACAGGATCCTAAAACAATACCGTCCTACGTAACTTCAGGTACAACTTTTATGATACCTAAAGATCGTAATGATCTCTCAAATCCAGCAAAATACCGACCAATAACATGCTTGCAGACCTTGTACAAAATTATCACATCTTGTATATCTGAACTAATATATCAACACATCGACACTAATAATATCTTAGCCGAACAACAAAAAGGATGTCGCAAATTCAGCCAAGGCTGCAAGGAACAATTAATCATAGACTCAGTTATCCTTCAAAAAGTACAAAAAAGCAAAACCGATTTGTTTAGTATGTATATTGACTACAAAAAAGCATACGACTCTGTTCCCCATTCATGGCTTGTAAAAGTTTTAGAGATATACAAAATTCATCCAACTATAGTAACATTCCTGAAGGTCATGATGACAACTTGGACCACTGTATTAAGACTAACTTCGCCCAGTAAAATAGTAGAAACCATCCCAATAAAAATTCAGAGAGGGATCTTTCAGGGAGATGCTTTAAGCCCACTGTGGTTCTGTCTTGCTCTAAATCCCCTATCTAATATATTAAACGCAACTACTTTAGGAATCCCGTTAAAAAATACAACTACCGAAGGACAAAATGAAATTCAAACATTAGAATTAAATCATCTGTTGTACATGGATGATATCAAATTATACGCCAAAAGTGAGACTCAACTCTGTGAACTAGCAAACTTGACAGAACAATTCTCAAACGATATCAAAATGGAATTCGGCATAGATAAATGTAAAATAAATTCAATTAGAGCAGGACAGAATTACCAACACCAATACACTTTAAGAACAGGAGAACAGATAGAACCATTAGAGGAACAAGATAGTTATAAATACCTTGGCTACACACAATCACAACAGATACACTATAAAGAAACTAAACAAAAACTAACACTACAATTTCAACATAGACTAAACACAATTCTGAAAACGCAACTATATTCTCGAAATACAATCAAAGCAATCAACACCTTCGCTATACCAGTTCTCACATATTCTTTTGGGATAATCAATTGGACCAAAACCGATCTGAAAAACCTTCAACGAAAAATTAATACCACAATGACCAAATTCCGCAAACACCACCCACGATCATGTCTGCAGAGATTAACACTGCCGCGGAAAGAAGGAGGTAGAGGACTAATTGATATCCTAAACCTACATAACAGACAGATAAAAGCACTCAGACAATTCTTTTTCTCAAAAACCGAATCCTCTATTCTTCATAAAATTATATCACAGAACGACCAAAACTTAACACCCCTAAATTTAAAAGATACAACTGAACAGAAAAATGAGAAAGTAATTGAGGACAAAACCAAGCTTTTAGAATGGACGCAGAAATCTCTACATGGAAGACATCGCCAAGACTTATGCCAGATAAATGTCGACAAAGAGGCGTCGAACGCGTGGTTAAATCGAGGCGAACTCTTCCCGGAGACTGAAGGGTTCATGCTTGCTATACAGGATCAGGTAGTTGAAACCAAAAACTACAGAAAGTTTATCATAAAGAATTTAAGTAATGACACATGTAGGAAATGCTATAGCTCTCCAGAAACGATTCAGCATATAACAGGCGCGTGCAAGTCAATAACCCAAACAGACTACAAACATAGACACGATCAAGTAGCCAACATTATACACCAAAAATTAGCACACCAGTACAAACTTATAGATTCCGTTACACCATACTACAAATACAATCCAGAAATTGTATTAGAGAACCCCTCAACAAAACTATATTTTGACCGCGCCATTCTTACCGATCGGACAATCCATTTCAATAGACCAGATATTACACTTATAAACAAGATAAACAAAACTGGATATTTAATAGATATTGCTATACCAAATACCCATAACTTGCAGACAACAATAGCAGAAAAACTGAGTAAATACACTGAATTAAAAGATGAAGTAGCCCGACTCTGGCATCTGCAAAAAGTTACAATAGTACCGATAGTATTGTCTACAACAGGAGTAATACCGAAACAACTCCAACAGTCCCTTAATTCCCTCAACTTACCTACAAATATCTATCATCTACTGCAGAAGGCCGCGATACTAAACACATGTAGACTTGTTAGAAAGTTTCTGCAATGTGAACCAGAAAACCCAGATCAAAACACAAATACGCCACCATTTTCTGTGCAGTCTTCTACCGTATTTAATCCAACTGATAATCACTTGGCTTAGGCCCGTGTTATCAGCTCTTCCCGGCTTGCCGAGAATATAAAATCAAAAAAAAATATAATAATAATGAAAACTTTATAGATACTCCAAAATAATAATAATAATAATCTTTATTTCCATATATATATCAGTTAACAATATATAATGGAAATGTGATGTTTCAATGTTTGTTATTTATATCATGATATGACATATAGAGGCTTTCCATCTTAGTCCTCAGCATCTAGTCCTCAAATAACGCATCTGGAGCCTTATTTGAAGATTGTTGTAGGTATCCATTGACTGCAATAGCCACTTCGGGGAACTGTAAGTTTGTTTGTTATACATCTATACAAATAAATAAAATTCAAGTTTCTGTTTGTAATGTCAAAATATCAACTTTATATTAAATGCATATGAAAGTATATAAGGTACATACAACAAACATGTCCGTCTGTGTGTCTGTCTGTCTGTTAGTTCCGGCTAATCTCAGAAACGGCTGGACCTATTTCGATGGGATCACTGGCAGATAACTGATGTTATGAGGAGTAAATTAGGCTTTTATTCTTTGAAAATAATTAGGGTTTTGCTCAATAACATTAAAAGCCATGAAATCCAACCGCAATAAATTCCACGGGGGTAAAGTCGCGGAGGACAGATAGTTAATAAATAAAATTGTCAATATAATATGAAATATATACAATTTTTTAATTTATAATTATCATTAACTTTTAATTTGTATAACCGGGGCGGTTTTTAATATAACACTAGCATGCAAGAGCTTGGCGTAACACGTTATTATAGATAATTTAATAGTTATACGGTTCCTATATGAAGATTTAAAAATATTACGGTCAATGTTATCGCAAGCAGTAAAATTTGGGTGTTTTATATAATGTCACGACATCATACCATAAATTTCTAAGCGTGTTATCCTTTGAAGGTAGAAAGAGATTATTTATAATAACTTATGTAAGTTATCTTTTTTATCAACATAAATCCACAACAGTTCACAGCCAAATTCGAGTTTCCCTTATTCTAGAAATGTGCGTGACTACGTAGGGACCGTGTTGTAAAGAACCGGAGACACTTTACTAGAAACGAGGCATTTCATGTTAGTCTTCAGGGGGTGAAAACGCATATGCATTTTGATTCTTAATCAACGACAAATGCAGATGTATATGGGCTACAGCATCCACTTACCATCTGGTGGACTGTGTGGTCGGTTTTTACCCCCATTCTATAAAAAAAATGCTGAAATGTATGCTATATTTCCAATAAAAATGTTATCAAACTTGCTTACTGTTACTAATATGAAAATCAGATACGCTTTGCAATACGAATATATTTGTAACACGTGTTTACTGATAAATTTATCTTTATTTTATTTAACCTTAATATTAAAAACAATTCTGTTACTGATACACGTATTTATGTCGTAGTCCGATCGTTAGAACTAGGCAGATCGTAATCTGTCTGGACATTTCATGATACGTCGCTATTTCATGATTTGGCCAAATATTTATAACTTTGACTTGTGTTTATATATTACATTATATATATATATATATATATATATATATATATATATATTACGAAAGCTCATATCTATTCATTTCAGCGACAGTATTTTAAACTACGGCTGTCATGTCTTATCATGAAATGTAGAAATGCCCAGTTAGATTACAATCTGTCAATTAATGATTGTAATACGACATACATAAATCCTACAAAGTATTTTAATCATAACATTACCACTTGTCAAAAATTATAATGTAGTTGGGCGTAGGTGGACAGCGAACTTTGAATATCGAATAGCTCTATTAGATACCACTATAAAATATATTTAACAAACACTTCCTTATGACCGCTCTAATTTTTTTTGTTTCTTAAACAGCGCCCACGCATAAATTTGTATTAGGGAAATTATCTAGTTTTTAACCGATTTCAAAATGGAGTAGTAGTTTTTATTCTATATTATTTTAAGGAACGATTTTCAAAAGAACACACAGTTATATTTGTATGTCTTTACGACAAAACATAGCGCTCTAATAATTGTAACCCTCGCAAGATCTTAATGAGGGCATCCACGACATTTTCTGCCACCAGGGCGGCGCCACTTTAGAGTGAGGTAAAATATTTGACAGATTTCATAGCGGGGATGATAATTTCTTAGGAAAATGTAATCTTTAAGGTTTCTTTATGTATTATTAGTTATATTTTATATTAATTACATTAGAAATGAATAAATCAAACAATAAATATAACTAATAGACGACTTTTTAAAAAAAAAAGAGTTATAATGTGCAAAAAATTAAAAATCAAACCACTGACGCATTGTGTTGTGTATTAATATAATACTCTAGATAATGGTAAACTATTATTTAAAACTAATTTCTCAATTAACTGACACTGCGTAACAAAAAATTTTACCTCAGTCACAACTAGCGACATCTGGTGAGTGGAAGAATATTAGCCCTCATTGTAACCTGTCTATGTTTGACAAATAAACTGTTCTGATTCTGATTCAATTCGAATGTATGGTTTTTCGTATGCATGTCACGCGATATCTTCGCAGCTTGTGAACCGATTGTAATTATTTTTTTATTAAATAGACTTTAACTCTTTACCTCAAGGGTGGTCCCATTAAATTTTGAAGAAAAAATTCTGCCCCCAAGGGTTGAAAATAGGGGAAAAAGTTGCATATTGGACTATTGTTTAAGGAATTTCATATGATATCTTCGCAGATTGAGAAACGATTGTAATGATTCTATTTTTATTAAATAGCGTTTATACTTCAAGGGTACGGTACGGTAGTAAATAAATAACCTCTTTTTTTAGTAATTTGAAGTCGGTTTTTACTTTTTGTTGAAAGTTATAATTATTGTAATAGTATTGCCGGTGTTTCACGGCTCCGTGATGCAGTGGCTTAGCAATGAGTTGCTGCGCTGGGTTGGCGCGGGTTCGAATCCCACACGGAACAAGTATTTGTATGGCCTGCAAATAATTATTCCGGGTCTGGATGTTTGTCCTTGTGCAATTTGTGTTTGTAAACTGCCTCCACGATACAGGAGAAAAACCTAGTGTGGGGGTAACGTTTCTTAAAAAAGAATAAAAAAAGATATTGCGTAATAAATCTGATTGGAATTTTTAATGCTTTGAAATGCAGAGGGAGTTCCATTTTTTTCTATGTTATTAATTTTTCCGTCTACTAAAAAGTTTTACAAATAAGTTATCCGCAATTTTCAATAAATAAGAAGTTCAGAGCTACATTGTGTATATAGATTTGTCCGTAATAAGTTTTACAATATAAAATCTAAATGGGTTATATAAAACGTTTTTTTCTTTAGTTCCTTATTTACCAAGACTTTTATACTTACATGATTCAACTAAATTATAATACAAACTAATCTTACAAAGAATCCAATTTGTTCTCGGTAACTCAAAGGTTAGCTCCAAAAAAGGCGCTCGTAACGATATTACAAATTGTTTTAAGTAATATGATTGGCAATTAAATGCCCACACAGTAGGCATTGGAGAATTTTAAACAAAAAGTGTTGCTGGGTCCTTCACTGCTGGCCGTATGAGGAAGCTCAAAGTCACTCAGCAAGCTATGGAGAGAGCTATGCTCGGTGTTACTCTGCGTGATAGACTTAAAAACGAGGATATTCGAAGTAGAACCAGAGTAACGGCATAGCCCAAACAATTAGTATGCTGCAGTGGCAATGGGCCGGCCATACAGCTCGAAGAACCGACAACCGATGGAGAAGGAAGATTCTTGAGTGGCAGCCTCGTACCGGTAGGCGAAGTGTAGGGCGACCCCCCACGAGATGAAGTGACGACCTGGTAAGACATGCAGGAAGTCGATGGATGCAGGTGGCTCAGGACCGTGCTTTGTGGCATTCCTTGGGGGAGGCCTATGTTCAGCAGTGGACTTGTGAATGGTTGTAATGATGATGATGATGATGAATTTCATATAATTTCAAAATTATTGTGTCTCACATTAAAATGTTTTATTTTTAAAATTGTCTCGTATAAAATATGGGCATACTTAGATAATAGTGCAAAAATGAAATTTTTTGGCTGATTATCTGATTATATCTTCACACATTTTTTCTTTCATTTAGGTTCTTTTATTGTGGAGTTTTAGGAAAATGATAAAAGTTCTTTTGACTTTTAAAAAACAAACCTTAACCAAAATTAGTCCGTCAATATGTAAGAACTGTTAGACTTAGATGTCATGGTCTTTTTTATTTAATTGTCAGATACAACGTTTATTTGAAAGATTTTATCCTTGTTATAAACCTTATCAATTAATTAATTTAAATATCCAGGCTCAGGTAAGCGACTTAAAAAAAAATTTGAATATGTTTATTATTTTTTTTTTAAATAAAGTAATGTTTCCTTTGAGTGCAAATTGATATCTTCAATATTTAATATACCTTTCCTCCATAGCCCGTCCGTTTTCCATTCTGTATAGTTGTAAAGAAACATATTATATGTGTACAGTTGTAAGTGCTAGCTCGTTGACTTCGACGACGTAAAATATGTTCAGAATATAGAATGATTTTAAATTCGTCTATTTGGTTTTTCATCACTATGTATTGTTTTATAATCTCTTTCCCTCCTCATTGTATTCCCGGGTCTATATCTGTATTAAAATAAGTAAACATTGTTAGTAAAGTTTACGAAATATATTATGTTGTTATGCTTTTAAACAAAGTTCAAAAAATACTTTTTTGAATAATTAAAATTTGGGTTAGTGTTAGAAAAAAAGAGATTTTTTGCTAACTTTTATTCTCATATATTCTAGTTTCTAAATAGTTCTTTTTTAATTAAATGACTATGCGGTTTTTAGGTGAGCTCGCTATCGCTAGTGCAGTCAGTACTTGAACATCTCTTGTGTATGACATGAGATGTTTAAGGACTGACCACACACATATAGGGTTGCTACCGACATTATACAGTAAACATAATATAATATTCTTTATAGGATTTGAAATGTAACAATGACGATCGATCTT